CCAACCACAAGTGGAGCCAGAAAGCCATGAGGGACACCTTCTACCTCAGCAACATCGCCCCGCAGGTAGCGGCCGCCCTGGGGACCGGGGGGGACTCGCCCTGCCCAGGCAGCCGGAGCTGGAACCCCCTCGGAGGGTCTCCGGCTCCTCCAGGTGTTTGTCCCCAGAGCGGGTCAGGCAGAGAGGGGACAGAGTGGCCAGAGTCCCCCGGGGGGGCTGTATTTCCCGCTGAAGTTAACAACCCCAGCCCTGCCCACACGCCTCTCCAGCCATGAGAAACTCCTTGGGTGCAGCTCGTTGGCAGGAGGGCAGTGACACACAGACACCTGCAAAAATCATCGTCTGAGGGGTGCGGGGTCTGTTCCTGGCTGTGCAAACCGGGCCCTGGCCCTACGCAGCATCCGGAGCTGAGGGGATAGTGGAGATCTCCCCTGGAAAGCGCTGGGAGGTGTTACAGGACAGGCAGGGGTTGTTGCTCTGCGACTGACTTTGCTGCCTGTGTTGCCCTGGTTGTATTTCTAGAATCCTCATTTAAACCAGAATGCCTGGAATAACCTGGAGAAGTACAGCAGAAGCTTGGCGAGGAACAACAAGAATGTCTATGTCTGCACAGGACCCCTTTTCCTGCCCAGGTAAAAACACGAGGGTGGAGCTGGGGCCGTGCTTGAGAGATGTGTCGTGGTGGGAAAGGAAAGCAGGCTGAGGGGGTACAGCCTCCCAGCTGCTCCAAACAGGAGCAATGTGCTAAAACCCTGCTCAGGAGGTGAGACCAGCTGCGTGCAGAGGTTCTGTGGAAAGGTGCTTTCTTAGGGTTGGGATTGGTTTGAGTATTTCCCATTCAGTTGATTATTTTAGGATCAAGGGTGGGTTTCTTGAGCTGCAACATAGCTGTGTCATTTCTCTTTGCAGTCTTTAGCAGTAAATTGCTAGATTATTAGATTAACAGATTAGACTGCAGACCCCTTCCCTGCAGAATAAAGCTTCTAGGTTTTATTCCATAGACTATTTCTCCACTTAAGAGCATTACTTTATTTGCAAAGATCTTCATGTAGTGCTAAAGAGAGACAGCAAGGAAGGGATTTGGGGCGAGCAGACCCAATACACAGCTCAGCCTCACCATGTCACATAGCCTGTTTCATCAGTGGTTTTACACCCCCACCACAGAAGTAGGGCTGCTCCCTGCCTCGCTGTGGGGTGGGGGCTCACTTGGGGTGGTGGTGGAGGGCTGAGGGGGTGGATCTGCCACCAGATGACGAGGTAACATGGGACATTGCTGTTGGTGCAGGATGGAGGCCGATGGGAAGATGTACGTCAAGTACCAGGTGATTGGGAAGAACAATGTGGCCGTCCCCACCCATTTCTTCAAGGTGCTCATCCTGGAAAAGGAGAGCGGGGAGATTGAGTTGCGCTCATATGTGATGCCCAACAGCCCTGTGGATGAGAAAATCCCCCTGGAACGGTTCCTGGTTCCCATCGAGAGCATTGAGCGAGCCTCAGGGCTCCTCTTTGTCCCAAACATCTTGAAGAGAACAAGTAACTTGAAAGCCATCACAGCTGGAAGCAAGCGTTGAACCCTGACTACACAAATCCAGGTATCCCCTGGGAAGGGACTCAGCAGCCATTTGCAGAATACTAGTTCATTGTGCAATTTTGAATGTGAGAAATAGGAATCAAACCAATGCTTCTTTTTACTCTTCCCTCGTTTCCTGCAACAGTGAAACCTGCACATGGGGCAGGTCCTGTGGGAAGCTCCTGGGCACTTGGCACCATCGTAGGTCTTTGGAATTTGCCCCTGATCTGCATGGAGCTACCCCTGTAATTGCTCTGTCTGAGCTGTGTGTGGCTCATTAAGACACAAAGGGAAGTTACTTCATTTCGGCTGTTTAGCAGGGAAGGATGGGAGCAAGGTGGGTGCAGGGGGAGGAGAGGTTCCTGCCTTTCTGTGGCCAAAGGATTTTATGATTGTTTTCTTTCACAAGATGGTTTTAACAGTAAAGCTTTGCAACTCTGAAGTATTGGTCATTTCTTATCTGCTTTTACCAAAGCTCTGAGTATC